CCCCTAGCTCCCCTAAACCCTAAACCCCAAGCCCTAAGTAGGAATAGTAATCCTGAACCCCAAACCCTAAAGAGGAATAGTAATCCTAAACCCCCCCAAAAGAGGAATAGTAACCCTAAACCCCAAACCCGAACCCTAAACTCTACCCTTTATAGAGCCCTTTTCTGCAACCCTTATACTACCCTTATAGAACCCTTTCTAGAGCCCTTTAAAGCAACCCTTATAATACCCTTATAGAACCTTGTAAATCCACAGAAGCTTAGGGTTCAGGACTCGGAAGCCCGAGGCTTCAGGTGCTTCCGCCAAGCTACAGGTCACGGCACTGGTTCGGGCTCCCGGGCCCCTAGACTGGGTTCTTGTTAAGGGATTTAATTTAAGTTACCATAATAGGGATCTATAGTAAATAATATGGTTTCCTCATCATGGTAACTTAAATTAAATCCTTTAACAAGAACCCAGTAGACCCTGAACCCTGAACCCGAGAATCCTAAACCCCCTTGAAGCTTAAACCCCAAACACCCAAGGCCTTAAAACCCTGAAATCCTAATCCTTAAACCCCCACCAACCAAAATCCGCTTGAGAACGTATGTATGTTCAAGCTCTTCGTTTGAGCAGTGGTTTCCGGGAACAGAGCCTCGATTCACGCATGTATAAATGAGGCAGCTCCTCAGCACACTGGAGTCACTGGAGGGCCCCATGTTCATAACCCTAAACCCTAAACCCTAAACCCTAAACCCTCCCTCGGATCCTGCATTTGGAAACTTTTCGAAACCCGGTTCTTGCCCCAGCACTTTCTCTGCAAGAGGCGCTTCTAGGCAGAGGAAACTCTGCCGCAGCGGCCACACACACATCTATATATATATATATGTTTATTTATATATTTATTTATCTACTTATTTGTTTGTTTATACACAACTATGTACATACATATACATATCACACACGCATGTTTCCATATGTATATATACACACATATGCGTCTATAGAATATAAATAGGTAAACAGATATATAAGAAAGTATATATAAATATATATATGCATATACAAAAACATATAGCCCGCCAAGTCCTGAGCTGACACACTCCCACATGCCGAAAACCGGACACCCAGGGGCCAGCCCCGCTGCCAGTCCGCGCAACCAACACGGGACCGCTTCACATCGGTAATGTTCGTGTTTATAAGAGCATCCTGTGTAAGGAGCGTGTAGGGCCTAGGCTTCGGATCTGACAGGGCTTCTTATAGTAGTAATAATAATGATAGTCATGATAGTAGATATAGTAGTATGGGAGTTTGGGGTTGAGAGGTCAAGTTTCGGCACGTGGTTCGAGTCCGAGTGTCGAGTTGGTTCTAGGGTTTAAGGGGGAGGATCGCCCGAAGGGGGTCGCGAAGAAGCTAGAATACAACACAATATACAATAAGATACGATTCAAAACGATGTCACATTCCGCTTCCCAAACCCAACGCCGTAAGCATAAGTCCCCAAAAAACCAAGCAGGTGCGCATTGCAAGCGTCGCATTGAGATATCCCCGAAGCACGGAGACTCACGATGGTTTAAGGGATACTCCTTGTCTTGTGGCTCGTGGGGACTTCAGGTTCTGGAGCCGTAGGACTTAAGAGATGTATCCCCAGCGATAGCACGCAGCCGCCAGGCCCCTAAACCCCGGGACCCTACTTAAAGGCTCATCGGACTTAGCAAGTAAGGTTATAAGCAGGCTGTAATTAGGATAACCCCACTTTGGGGGGACTTATAATCCCAGTTTTAAGCTACTTGCTAAGTCCCATGGTCCTCCAAGTAAAACTCAAGCCGTCTCACCGGGGCTGCAGCCTGAAATGTAAACCGACGCGACGAAGTCTTAAGTGGAGACTTGGGACATCTTGTCCCGTGAAGATCCGAAACCCCCAATCCCTCTGTGGGTTCATGAAAGATTTTTGCGAGTTCTGGCTGAAGGCTTACACCCTAAACCCTAAACCTTAAACCCTAAACCCTAAACCCTAAAACCCCTTGTTCTGCGCGGCAGGGTCCAAAGTTGCAGGTCTGGGGGTTTGATGCGGTTTCGGGCTCCAGGTTTCCTAAGGTGGGATCCGGTGAGCCCTGAGCCGTTACGACCTGAGTCCTGAAACCCTAAACCCTAAAC